TCTGTGGCAATTTTGTTCCGACTATCACTTGTTTATAGCCAGCAGTATCCCACATGGCGTCCACCGACGTCAAATCAACGATGAACACAGACACATCACATTGCTATAAGCCATCGTCGGAGGGGGATAGGTGGAGGATCGCCACTCTTTCCGGAGAACCATTTTGGACTCCAATCACGTGCTAGTACGGGCTCATGTATGTATGTGCCTTATTGGTCAAAGACTGTCCATGGCCGACTGCAAGACGAGGGTTTCAAGTACGTATTAAGGAAATAGTTAGCTAAACATTTATCGGAACGTGTCAGCAATGGTCACCATGTACTGTAGAAACGGCAGTAAAGACAAATGGTAACAAATGGTACCCCCTGGAGGTCATCTGGCTGGCTTAGAATATACTGACGGTATTGCCGTGCTAGGTGAAGACGATAACAAAATGTAGGGTCTTCTGGATGCGTTGAGCAGAAATTTGAGTATGCTTGGCATGCATTTCTCTGGCACCAGTCAAATGTAAGATGATGCTTCACGACTGGTCTGTTGCAAGTACCCCCAGTTTTTCAATAGGGAGTGAAGTGGTGGAATGTGTCGACCACTTCACTTGGGGAGTTGCACCAGCCCGAACGGACTGGTTGTTGATAAAATCTCAGCTTGGATACAGAAGGCCCATTTGACATTTGCCAATTTACGCCACCTGTGGCACCAACTGGCGAGATATCCGGCTATCTATTAAAGGATGAGTATACTGTGCTGTAATCTGTTCTGTCCTGTTACACGGCTGAGACAGCTGTTAAAAGTAGGAGACGTAAAGCCGTTACTGGGTTTAACCATAAGTATCTGCGTAGCATTGTTCCCGTGTGGTGGAATCACCATGTGAGCAATGCTGAGGTCAGGGAAGATAGGCAAGCCGATTGATGAGGTTCTGAATCTTCGTCGACTGAGGCGGCTTTAAGACCTGCTGTGTAGTATGCTGAGCCACCACCTACCCTCACGTGCCATGGTACGGGGAGCTGGATTAGATTGGAAGAGTCCAGGGTGGCGAGACCAAGACCTAGCACCAGTCGATGAAGTCTCTGAGTGTTGATCGGAGCCACCTTGTAGACTATCTACATAGTTTCCGAGACGATAGGAACTAGTGGTTGAGAACTCTTGGTGACATGGCTGGAAATCAGTCGCAGTGGCGCAGACGTATTCATTCTTTGACGTCTTCTAAGGCATAAATATATGCACTAGCCTTAATCTTCAAATTGTTTATTCTCTCACATAACTTTGTCTACTTTGATATAAGTCTCTTTCTATCCACCTGTTCTTTGTATATTACTGTGAAGTCTAGCAACTTGAACCGATGCACTTGTTTGCGAGGTTCTACATTGGTTTTGTCTGTCTGTTATCATTGTCAGTAGTATTATATAGTCATAGGCAAATTTCTTGTCTATCTTACGTACCGGATCTTTAACAAATCAGACGAGCACTTCTCCTCATTCAAATCATAAATGTTGTATTATAATTCCGCTCAACCGAATTCGGCCTGGGAAACTGTGTAGTATTATAAGGCCTTATACAACAGACAAGTAAATCAGAATAGAACCTAACACAGGAGTGCATAAGCTTATTTTCCTAAAATTATGAGCAGCATGCGAAGAATCGGATAGAAGAATGATACCAAAGTAGATGAGAAGTGCATAAGACGAAAGAAAATAAATAAATAAAGGTTAGTGAAAACTTTCAAAACTTTGAGGATGGCAAAAAGTGTATTCATCTTTACCATCGCGACCGACTTAGAGGTATGCCACCCAGTCTTCAAGCATTAATTCTTACCATTTCAACGTTTCTAGTCACAGTTTACACTTCCATATACAGTTCGAACCAGCATTCAAAGAATATATGGATTTGGGCTGTCTTGGCTTGGTCAACGTTGGCTTTCTCTCTAACTAGCCTTACTTTGGCCATAGGTCAGGTTAGGTAGTGGTTTCACATGTAAAAAACATGACTGAGTCAAATCAGTTGGTCTGACTCGTTTTGACTGGTAATTTATGCTTAAATTCAACATTACTCGTTTTGTGACTCTACCCAATGAGAGCACTGTTACCGAGAGACTTGATTAAAAACCCTCAACCTCTTCAGATACGCCTTCAACTATAATTTACTGCCGTACAGCACGACAGAGAGCTATTGTGCAGCATATCCTTTGATTTGCAGCTGGATATCAGCAAGTGCAAGAGGCGGCTAAGTTGACAAAAGCTAGACAAGCCTATTGTAACCAAGTTGGAATTTCGTTGCAAATCAGCCTACTAGGGTCAAGTTTCACCTAACGAAACTAGGCTGTGTGTACTCAAGGTCCATCACATGCCTTCTTGGCAATAAGCCAGTTCTTAGAAAGTTGACAGTACGTCGCGTCACACTTATCAGAACGCCTTGCAAAAGGAATGGTGACAACTGATATCCTTGAAAGACAACACTGTTTTTCGCTAACTCAGGTGGCAACTCTGCGTTAACCCCTATACCACCGTGTGAGTTTCAGTAGATAACGTTGATTAACATAAGATAATTGCTCGATACTCCTCTAACATCGTAGGCAAGATCCTAGGGTCTATAGTTATACAATATCTAACTGGAGCTCGAGAACAACAAAGTCGGAAGAAACAAGGTAGATTTTGGAGCCAGATGAGGATGCATCAATCAAATCCCCACCCCCTAAACAATCTTTAGAAAGCAGGCGTAATTACCGGCAAACCACACTTGCGATATTTCGTCACCTGATGGTGGCACTTGATTCTGTCGATCGAGGTAATGTGGCAGTTTGATTGTGAAGAAAGTATATAATGCCAACCGAGGTTCTCTATTTGAAATTAGGTAACCGTGTAAGAGCTCAGAGAGAGCGTCTGAAGTAATGACAATTAGTGGTGCCTGTTGATATAGCCTCCACATGGTGCATAGGTATTCTATCTGACTTGGAGATGTAAGATAATGTTTGAAGACTAGTCGCAAGTCACAGTTGCACGATACGGAGTGGTGTGGTAGAATGAATTGACTACTTCACTTACTTAGGAAGTTGTGATAGCCTCAAGAGGCTTACTGGTTAAGACGGTTGACTTTCAACCAATTTGTTATTTGTACGACCTACGATCGGCCTACAAAGGTTTGGTGAGCCACACAGCATAATCAGCCCTCAAACACTAGGTGTCATACTGCCTACTGCACGAGGCTGCTGAACGCACTTTGACGAAATCTCAAATCATATTCAAAATGCCCGTTTAGCATAATCCAACCTACGCCATCTTTGGCACCGGTGAGATATTCGACTACCTATTAAAGGATGAACATACCAAGCTTCATTTAGATCTGCTTATTATAGTGGTGTGACACGTGGTCTTTACAATTAGATATGAAGAGATTACAGGTTGTTGGCCACATGCATTTTCATAGCTCCTTGCGTTGGGTGGAAGGATCACGTGTGGGTATTAGGTAAGAAAGGCGAATCAGTAGATGGGGTTGTGCACTTTTACCTACTCAGGTGGCTTGGACATGTGTGCTGAGTACCCCAAGTCACCTCCTACCTCGATGTGCAATGCTAGCAGAAGTAGGACTGGGTTGGAAAAAGGATATGGGTGGTTAGACAAACACATGGCAACAATCCACGATGTCTGACGGTCGACTTTAGCCATGTAAGGAGGTTCAGGTCCTCGAAAGGGTAACAACCAATGGTTGGGAACAGCTGATGACATGGCTAAAGATAAGTTACAACGGTGCAGATGTGTTCACTACTTGATGTCATTAAAGCTTGAATATTTGAACTAACTTTGATTTTGAGATTGTTCCCCATTTCACATACCTTTCTGTACCAAGTGGTCCTTTGCATGCTTCTGTGAAGTGATACAACTTGGACTAATGAACTTCTGTGAGGAATCTAGAGTTGTTATCTATCCGTCTGAAGTCAGTCACATATGGTCTTTTCGGAAGTTAAGGGTTGATAGTTTTAAAGGCAAATAGAAAACCTATACCTTCGGTACCAGGAGATTCCAGCGTAGGAGCAAGTGTTATTTTAGGGGACGACCTCTCATCCCCCCTCAATATAAGGAAGGCAGCGTTAGCAAAGACTACTGGTCACCTACGCGACATCTTACTGTTGTCACTCAATCCATCCAGTAGGAAGAATATTCCCTCGAACCTCTCATCGTACTGTAGCTCTTAACACCCTCATGATAGCTGCTTACCACTATTCTGAAGACATTCCTGTTATGCTAAGAAACTAAGTAAGATACTATGTCAACAACATAACTACGGGTGATATGCAAGCTTAACCATTTCAAAGAAGCAGGCGTCGGACAACCTTATAACTGAGGACTGAATAGGTGATAGTCCCGTCTGACTGATAAGACAGGAAATAAGGTGAAATTTATCCACTTATTACCTCAAACATATATGAGGAACGGTTTCCTAAACTGATACATAAGGCAACAAGCTAACGAACATCTACAATGACTCGCAGCCTTCTTATTTGGTAAAGTCTGTCAGGTATTTCCAGATGGATCCCTACAACCCCATAACTCGTAGTAAGGTTCCTGGACTGCTGCTTAAAAGGAAGTCAGGTATGAATATATAGGCTCAGTGCTCATTTACAATCTAGTAAGTTCAACAAACTCATTTTATGCACTATCGTCAGAATAATTTACTCGCAGACACTAGCATACACTTTGGTATCCAGATTGGGAACTTAGCAGTCATTGTACGAAGAAACTGGGCAAGCTAAAACTAGTTAAACCATGATCAGAAGTTCTGAGCCTCTAAAAAACGCGAATCCCATCTTTACCATGAAGAAGTGCAGATTCTTAGTAGTGATTAAATTCACTCACTATTGTCAGTGAAATCTATATATTACTCGAAGTATATCCTGAGTAATGGCATAACTATATCTCTACAATTGTTAAAACTTATCACTGTAACAAGTGGAGGGAACCAATGCATTTAGAAACCCTTTTGATACGTTTTTTTGTGAAAAGACATACCTGGGAAACTTCCATTTTCCATCAGTGAATGATTTCCAGTCAATGAAAGGAAAACATTATCCATCGTAAAAGAATTAATACCATAAAGACTAGATTAGTAGTAACCGCCTTTGTTGTTCTTACCATTTGAAACAACTGATTCAGTATTACAGCTTTAATGAAGTGGAACGATTCCAAATAACCTTACTAGGATAAATCTAAGAAATTTAGTTTTTCCAATACTGTTATTTTCTGATATGCTCGAGGTTATGACGGGATTTTTATCCCTGTATGTACTTCAATCATGGAGCTTAAGAAGAATAGCATGCAAAAATTTATATATTCTTTCATGTGTATGTCGAATTTCTTGTTGCATATATCCACAGGATCTGTAGTAATTGTCTGCTGTATTGACAGTTTTACTGTTAACACCCCATGCTAGCCACAAACTTGCAATCATGAATGATTTGCTTGAGGTTTCTGAAATATATGATAAGATTCTCAGTTGGCTAGCTCTAACAGGAGGAATAAGAGAATGTGAGGAGTCGGTGTGTTGCGTTGCTCCACTTTACCCCGAGACACCTGACAGTGTTCTGTTTAGTGCAGCATTTCTTTACTGACAAGGTAACAGACCTTTTAACCCAGTTTAATTTTTGACTCTGGATGCATCCCTGGCATTTAACTGGCACTCACAATATTGAATACTTAAGTAAATCCCAGACACACCACGAATTACAATTTTTCATTTGAAAAGCCCTACTGAAACATCTGGGAGTGCTGTAGCAGCTAATTATTTCTCAAAGACGATATTCTGCTTTCTAGCAACATTCAATTTTGATGCTGAGGTTCATGGTTTTAATTCAATAGTGTTTATCTAGAGGTAAAAGCTCAAGCAGTAATCCCGTTCGATACGTTGGCGTGCTAAGCTGTATCCCCATATCTAACACCCTTCAAGTAAGTATGTTAAACCAAGTGAATGAATTCTCGTGTTTAGGTCTTGAGTTTAGGTCCTTTTTATTTAGTTTCAGTCTTTCGGTGGATCCGCAACCCTATTCCAAAGTCATAAGTTCAGCCTTTTAGTGCAGGGTTGTCTTCGGGTTCTTTTCTTTTGTATTTTGTAGACTGGGTGGGCAAATGAACTGTTGGACTGCTGGTAAGACTGATAGCTTTTCTGTATATCCCGTTTTTATGAAAGCCTAGAGTTCCAGAGGTCAGTGTATAGATAAGACTTGGGTAGTGTGGTAAGACCTAATTCCATTTTAGTTGACTTTTTGACTGCGTCACTGCATGATACACCTACTAAGTCAACTAAAATGGAATTTTTGGTGTCATTACATGTTACTCAGTGAGTAAAAGGGGAAGAAGTCGGTTGCATTCGGCGGTTATGGCAAGAATGGAAAAAATATGTGTGACAGCAACGATCACTGGAAAGCAAATATTAAGAAAAAGACAAAAAGTGCTACATACGCGCTATAGTGGAATAGCTAAATCACAAGCTTCCTCGTGGGTTAGTGGTAAACCGTGCCTGTAAACACATTTACCCAACAACATTTTAATAGCCCCACTATACAGGCTGTTTTCAATTCCTGTGGTACAGCAATCTACAGTAGGCTTCTACTCCGATGTTAGCTCTTTAGTGTACTAGTCTCACTGGTTCCACACATGGCTATTTATTTTGATTTAGCGTTGGTGGTTCATGACCCACCTGATACGCCTTACACGCCGTTACCAAATCGTTTTATTTCGCACAACAGCTAAGGGTGGATGGGTTGAAGTGTCTTAGATCATCAGCTTAAGGTTCACTGTCTGGCTTGATAGCATATTTTTTGCCATTCTGTACATCTTCAAAACATTTCAGCTTCACATGAGCAGTCCAGAGGCTACTGCGTTAAGAACCTGAGGGTTTAATTCAATGAATTCTTTGAAAACTGTGGAGAAGAGTTTCAAAGTAAGAGTTCCATGACTTTTGGTACTGAAGTGTGCAGAAACGTTTTCCTCAGCAATCACTTCTATGCATTTTATAATAGTGTCAACTATGGCAAAGAAATTATGGTCCAACCTTTTTCACTGGTCGCTTGTCAAATAATGAGGCCACTTTGGATATATTTATTGCTATTAGCGTCACCTGTCCAAAGATTAGTTACTTTGGACTTTCCTAGGTTAAAGCAAGACTGTTTTTCGATGTCTAACTTTCAGTTGTTAAAGGTTATCTTGGAGCCATAATAGGTTGCTGTTTTCAGATATCAGCGGTCGTATTTTAATTTTGGCAATGGCATACAAGTTGGGAATAAAAACCGCCATAGGCTGATCGGAAGAGGACCACTGGTAGTACCAGTAGATACATTGTTGGCGCACCCTGTGCATACACACCCCAAAGCAAAAATTTACTTCTCCACTGATTACCACTTTCAATTTCTTTGGGAACAAACAATGCTGAAAGAATAATAATAATAATAATATATTTCATGCGACAAAGGTTACATGAATACAAACCAGTTTACAGGTTTGATCACTTTGGTAATGAGAGATGACTATTATGTACAATGTTATGCTATACATTAGATGCTGTGATTTATGGCATATAGGAGGCATGTTGAAGCAGGCTCAGTTCGAATTTGAAGATTATCCGGTCATCGTTTGAATCATCCAATATTCTTGAAGGTGAGGCCGCATCACATTCATGACCTTGGGGTGTGCGCGTTCGTCATCAGGTTTCGGTGCCAATATTTCCCACTGACGAATGCGATTTGTAGGATTCCATTTGAATGCAGGACTGGTTAAGTAAATCTGAAAAGTGAATAACAAAAGCGAGCAGCAGGCGAAATTTGTAACAGGGCACAAAAATACGCAGGAGTAGATCGACCATGATACATCTGGGTGAGTTTGTACTGACTATTAAACTTACTTGAGGAAGTGTCCAGAACCAACTGTTTAGAGGTAAGCTTAGGTGGAAGAAGATGAAGGTGCGCACGACAGTAATGAAAGTCAGCCTGAAGCTGAAGATATCACTACGAAATAGAAAGATTAGAGGATATTTGACCAGGTATTAACTTGTTATATACCTATGTACAAGCGTATGATGAAGTTATAAACATTTAGGTGAAATTCGTGGTTTTTTTTTGTTCTTAGGACCACCACCCTTTATCTGGTCACGAGGGGAATGATCATGGTGTTGCCTGTTGAGCATTACCATATCGGGTCTACCGAAACTATGTTGGTGCAGAGTACTTAGATGTAAGGGCAAATAATAAAGAGTTGCATGCTATGAAAATGCACCGACAGACAGTTCTTTTATCTTTTCGGAGTGGAGAGTTTACTTTAAGGGGCGATTTTTAGGAAATAGGTGTTAAGTCGTGAGATCGGTTAGGTTGTGAAGAAAAGTAGGTTACATTTGAGTATCTAATAAGTTCACTGTAGCATATCGTGTCGCACTCCGCTTCCTGTCCACTCTTGGTCATTTTTTTTCTAAGAAATTAGATTTTAACTTAACTATTGCGTTTAGTTTTCGGCATTGTATACTTATGTCATTGCTGTTAGTCTCCCTTGAGTCTAGGTACCAGTAGTACCTTAGTGCATGGCATTACCGTTTGTGGTTTGGCCGTCAACGAATTGATGAGATTCGTTAGATAGGAGGAATTTACTAAGTAATCGTTGAAACTGGCCGAGCGAACGGCATGCTCGTATAGGAGCGGGAAGTTTGTTCCACAGCATACTGTATTGCGTTATGAAAAACCTACATCGAAGTTTTGAGCGATACTTATTTATTGGGATGATGTTCTCGCTATTACGCAGATTATATGCCTGTGTTGTTTTAAAAGTGACAGCACATTTCGTTTTAGGGTTTGTAAATAAAAGACGAAAAAGAAGTGTTAAGTTGAGCTTCAGGCGTCTCAGCCAGAGTGATTCTAGTCCTAGTTTTTTGCATCTTGCTTCGTAAGGAAGTCCTTCGTTATGTATTAGTAGGCGCCGAGTAAAGTTCCGTTGAATGTTCTCTACTCGAATTCTGTCCGACACATTCATGCTACCATAGATAACGGTGCAGTACTCTAATATTGGGCGAACCATAGCCTTGTACAGTATAAGTTTTGCCTCAGGTATGAGTATGTTTCTGTGTAGAAGACCGATGAGTCTTGCTAAACCAAGGAAAAGACTGACAAATGCCTGCCTATCTTATCGCCGAGGTGCCCAATCGTCTCAAGCGGCCAGTTAGTTGGAGGCTGAGAGCTCTATACTTCTGAAAAGACGTTAGGTGAAGCTAATTGCATTACTCCAGTTTGGGAATTTCAAAACGCAAAAGGCCGTCAGCCTCCCCACTGCCCACTGGATTATGAATGGTAAGCCTGAAAGTCTGGCCTTGGCTTTATCCTTCCTGTAGCCAATGAATATAATTAATAGGTTACCTCACTCTCATTCATTTAGTATTTACTTTCTCTCTACTGACTGCGGAAGCAGCTTGCGGACCAGTGGCCTGACTGACTTAGAGGATGTCCTGGTTACTGTGACAGAATAACTGATCTGAAAAACCCTCCTGAGCACTCTGACTGACACCACTGACATTTCTTTTAACATTTTTACCCCCATCATGAATATCATCCTTTGACACAAACCGATGTGGTATTATTTTGTCATTTGCCTGTCTTCTTTGACTCGACGCCTGTTATTTGCTCTTGTTTTCATTGAGACTTATGAACAATGCTTCACCTTGCCATTGTGTGATGCTCGAATGTCAACAACAAGGCGTTGTTTTACTGTTCCCGACATTTTGTTTCGGTCCAACTTTGGGTTGCACTGTGAATCGACTGTTTGTCTTTTGACTATCTACTTTGAATGTTTATTACTTGATTTCATTCTTGTAGGCAGAGTTTTGATCCCATTTGTAGGGAATATCCCTGTTGATTCTCAGGTATTTAACAACTGTATTTAGTTGGCTTTTGCTGCATGGCGTTCCGCATTCCGTGCCGGAGAGATTTTTGGAGTGTATAGTTGCCCAGCGGTATCATCGAAGTACCTTCGTAATTTTGATATGACCTGTTATTGTTAAATGGTACCACAAATTTCCTACAGGTCTATCACAGAGTTATTACATCGAATCGTGCTTTAATGTTGCTGAGGCAACCCCTGACTGTGCGCGACTCAATGAATTTCGAGA